GCCCCAGCAGCAGGTCCCCGCGCGTCGACTGCAGCCGGAACTGCTTCTCGCGCTCCTGCATGGCGGCACGCTGCATCTCCACGTAGCTGTCCTGCCTGGCGATGACTGCCTGCGCAGGAGGGGCAGGGCGGGCCGGTGAGAGCCACGCCCCTGCCAGGACCCCAGCCAATCAGGAAAGGGCAGGTGTGGCTTTCTCGACGCCCCAGTACCTGGAGGCTGAGCAGCAGCCGGGACAGCGTCTGGATCCGCTGGACAAGCTGTGGGGAGAGACGGACACAGGCTGGCTCCCGGCCTGCAACTGCGCAGGGCGTGCGTGCTGACCCCAGGGACAAGGACGAGCCCTGAGCTCACCTCGGATTCCAGGATCAAGGGGAGCCGAGGACCAGTCTCCACGTCAGGATCCTCGATCTGCAAAGAGAAGTTGTCAGACCACGGAGAGGGTCCAAGGATCAACTTACCGTGGGCTGGACCCCTCTTAAGACAGAGACTTCCCAGGGCCAGCAGACTGTATAATGGTTATGGTGCTGGACTCCCACACAGTTGACGGAGGGCCTGGACCACTGCCTGAAACTGACTCTGGGCGCAAGTGCGTGGGTGCCCAAAATCCCCAGAGGAGAATGGAGGAGAAGGGACTGCGGCATGGCCATCGCCCCAGGGGGTGATTTCTCACTTTCTGTTTGTCTGTCAACCACATGCGTCCTATAGCAAAAATCTCCCTTAAAAAAAAATCGGGGACTAGCAGTTAGCGTAATGACTATATCACTGGACTCCCATGTAGTCGACTGTGGTTCGAGTCCTGGACATGATGGCTTAAACTCACGCCAGGTGCGTGTGCGTGCGTGCCCAAGATCCCGAGAGGATAATGGAGGAAAAGGGATTGCGGTGTGGCCATCCCCCCTGGGGGTGATTTCTTGCTTCCTGTCTCTCTGTCTCTCTCATGAGCACATGTGCCCTATAGCAAAAACCTCTCCAAAAAAAAGATGACATCTCCTGGCACGGGACACACAGAAAGGGTCCCACACTTGGGGGAGGGGAGCAGGCCCTGCAGGTGTGTGACTCTGGGTGTCTGGAAGGCCTGGGAGTGGTTGGACTTGAGGGCCCACAGCACGGCAAGCTCGGAACAGATGGGCACAGCCTCGGACCTAAGCCTTGTCCAGCTCTGGGGGTGACGGGCATTCTCAGTCCAAGAGAAGGGGCAGCCCGGAGACTTCGCACTGGGAGGTGTTGTCCTACCTGGGCCGACAGGACCCGTGGTCCCGTGTGGGTTTCTGGCAGGTGGATGAAGCCACGGCCAGGGCCCTGCGCCTGCACCCTGCACCCTCCCCGGCCTCCCTCCTGGGCACCTCCTGCCGCTCGCTGGGGGCTACAGGAGGAAACCCCGCCTGGGCTGAGACACCAGCCGTCACCATGTCACGGAAGCACATGTGTGGACGCTCACATTAAACAGGGGATTGCGACAACCTGGCGGGGGCTCTCATGGGTGTCGGCTAAGTCTCCCCAGGGGACAGACGGCCGGAGGAAACCACGTACCGCCTGTGGTGATTCCAGGCTGTCACTATTGCTGAGCCTTGCGTCTGAGCTGCCCACGGGGCCTCGGCAGTCTTGGGGCCTGGGGTCGGTGCTGCAGACCTTCTTAAAACTGCCATCTGGTGGGGGGGCAGTAGGTGGCGCAGAGGTTAAGGCACGGGACTCCCACGTGGCCAGCTGCAGTTCGAGTTCTGGACCTGGTGGCTTGAGACTCATGTCAGGTGCATGTGGCGTGTGCCCGAAATCCTGAGAGGAGAAGGGACTGTGGCGTGGCCATGCCCCCTGGGGGTGACTTTTCACTTTCTGTCTGTCTTTCTCCGGCAAGAGCATGCGCCCTACAACAAAAGCCTCTTAAAAAACCAAAAACCCCTGCCGCCTTGGAATGCCAGCTGGCATGTGAGGGTGCTGTGACCCCATAGGGTCTGGAGCCCTCCTCTCCCACCCACACCCCAGGGCAGGCTGGTGCCAGGCTGTCTTCGACACGACCACCAGCACCCAGGGGCTCCGGCACGTCCCTAGAGCTACGCTGGGCTCAGAGGACGGCAGACCCGCTGCTACTGAGTGCCCGGAGGCAGCCACAGCTGGGTGGGGAGGTGGGGGGCGCTTACCCTTGCTGGGGCTGCTCGTGCTGTCGAAGCCCCCGAAGGTCTCGGCCCTCCGGGGCAGGCCTGCGGAGCCTCCGTCATTCGCCTGGTCGTTGGTGCTGCTCAGCCGCCTGCAGATCAGGCCTTGGATGCCCTCGACTGCGGGGGTGGGGAATGAGCGGCCCTGCGGCAGTGTGCTGGGGCGTGTGGAAGCCGAGACCCGGGGGGGTGGGTCTTCCCGCCCTGCCCTTTCTTGGGGACTGCAGCGAGGACATGCCAGCCCATGCCTGAATGAGAGGCCAGGACCTCTCCTTCGCTGCTGCAAGAGGGGACCAGGCACAGGTGCCTGCAGAGCCTGAAGGGCCAGCATGGGCCCTGAGGTCTCAGAGCAGCAGGCCTGGGGGCAGGCTGGCGGAGGGGCTTCGGCACGGTCAGGGCAAGGCACGCTCGGTGACAGACGCTGGTGCTGGGGGCCTCCCTGCACCAGAACAGGGGTTTCCAGGCCAGGGCCAGCTCCCGGGGGGGCTCCAGGGTTCCAGGGCCTCTCCGGAATGGCCCTGAGCGTGCGTGTGTTTTCCTGGGGACACTGCCAGAGACCCAAAGAAGGTGGGGAGCCTGTCCTGGTCACCTCCAGGTTCTGAGGCTCAGCGAGTCTTTAAGTCTGCAATGGGGGTTTGGGCTGGGTGGTGTCTAAGGCTCTAGCAGGTGCCCAGAGGGGCCCAGTGCTGTTCCCGTGTTCCAGATGGGGTGGCACGTTGGCCGCCCGTGTTGCGTCCCTCGAGGGGCTTACCCGGGCGGGCGGGACTAGAGTGTGTATGGGTGTGGCCAACTCACTCTCACTCATGGCTGAATTGAGAATCTGCTCCCCCTGCAGGATCTCGGAGGGGTTCCCCCCGCGGAAGAGGGCGTGTGACTGAGGAGGGTCCTCGAGCCCGCTCAGCTCTGCCATCTCCAGGTAGATCTGCTGCTTCTCCAGCAGGCTCTGGGCGATCAGCTGGTCCTTCTGGCTCAGCCGCTCTGAGAAGTGACGGTGGGGGTGGCTGTCAGCCCAGCTGGCCTCCCTGGGGTCATCTGCTCCCAGGAGCTGGCACTAGGCTGAGTGTGTGGGAACCCGGCAGGGACCCCACCAACTCTGCGGCCTAGGAGAGCAACATCCCACCCTGAGGTGGGTGAGTGTGATAATCCCCAGGTATAAAAGTCACACCCAGGGCCAGGCCTGGAGCCTAGAGGCTAAGGGAGCCTGGTCCCACATGGCCGATGTCAGTGTGAATCCCGGCCTTGGAGGCCGTGTGCGTGCGTGCCCAAAATGCCGAGAGGAGAATGGAGAAGGGACTGCAGCATGGCCTTCTCCCCTGGAAGGTGATTTTGCTATCCCTCTCTGTCTCTCTCTCTCTCTCTGGTGAGTGCATGTGCTCTATAGCAAAAACAAACACAAAACAGACAGACAGGGAGGGGAATGGATAAACACGATGTGATCCAACCATACGATGGAACATGACTCAGTCCAAAAGAGAAAGGACGCCTGGGGCCAGCAGGTGGCATGGTGGTTAGAGAAGCTGGATTCCCACCTGGCTGAGCAGGGTTCGAGTCCCAGACCGGGCAGCTTGAAAATCATGCTGGATGCATGTGTACACATGCCCAAAATCCCGAGAGGAGAATGGAGAGGGGACTGTGGCATGGTCATTCCCCCCGTGGATTTCTCCCTCTTACTCCTTTCCTCCCTCATCTGGTGAGTGCATGTATCCCTATGGCAACCTCTTCCCTCCAAGAAAACCAAAGGAGGCTGTGACATGGTGTGTGAGTCCATGTACACAGGTGAGTCCAGAGACAGGACACGGATTTGTGGCTGCCCGGGACTGGGGTGGGGTGGGGGTGCAGTGGGTGGGGAGCGGCTGTTCTTGGGAATGAAAGTGTTCTTTGATGTGGTGACAGTTTATAACTGTAGGTACGCCAGGGCCACTGAAATTGCATGGCCGGTGAACCGTATCTCCGTCGGGCTTACTAAGGCCCAGCCACGGTGGCGCAGAGAGACCCTGTGGAGGGAGTCTGGCTCCACCCCCAGATCTCTCTCATTACATAAATAACCTCGGGCCGGCAGGTGGCATGGTGGCCGGGGTACTGGACTCCCACATGGCCAGCCAGGGTTTGAGTCACGGACCTAGCGGCTTGTTTTCTTACTTTCCCTGTCTCTCTCTGGTCAAATTTAATAGTAAATCAATTAAATAATTCTTGGGCTGGCAGGTGGTAGTTAGACACACTGGACTGTCACATGGCCGACCATGGTTCGAGTCCCGGACCTGGTAGTTTGCTTTCTCATTCCCTCTGCCCCCTCTCACTCTGTCCCTCTCTGGTCAAACTAAAATAAATAAATAAATAAATATGGGACCAACAGTTGACATAATGTCTATGTCTCTGGACTCCCATGTAGTCAACTGCGGTTTGAGTCCTGAACCCAGTGGCTTAAACTCAC